TCTTCAATTCTCTTCAGTTTACCACTCATTTTGATGCCAACTCTGGAGGCCTTATGTCCGGTCACACCACCGCTCTTGCGGTACAACTCATCGAAGTCTATATTCTTCGACAGCTTCGGGTCCAACGCCTTCTCCCCATCGGAGCCATCATCCGTTGCCACGCATTCCTCAGGAGCGGCACACTTCACAAAATTCTGGTACTTCTTGGACTCGCTCTCTTCGGCAGCGTTTGTCTCATCGGTGATCACTCTCCTGGCCTTCTTTCGCTTGTCTCTGGCCTTAACTCTGAGGCCACTCTGTGTGTGACATATCTTGAAGTCGACATAATTGGCGGAACAGTTGAAGGATTGGTTCCACCACTCGTTGGCCGACTCGTGTGTCACCGGAAATCCCAATCCGTTTGTATTGAACTTGAATTTGGGTTTCAAAGCGGCGGTAATACCGGTGCCGTCGGCGCCCAAACCCGTGCCCTCCGACCACCCCATCGACAACATGTGCTTTTTGGCGAAATTCATGACCACATCCAACACAACCACCGATTGTCTGAAGGATTTGTAATTAAATTCAGTCTTAAATCACATTTAAATCCCAAAACACAACACGTTTTGCAACTGTTTATGAGTTCATGAATAACGTTACGATCGGTTCGTAAACACTGTTCACGTATTTCATGAGTGTTTCAAACACTGTGTCACTGAAAATCAATTGTGTTGTCAACTCTTGGGATCAATTAAATTGTGACCAAAACCTACAGACGCTTATCGCCGCCACTCGTGAACATGTCTTAATAGCATCGCATCTAATCCGTTGACACAGCCGAAGACAACTCGTGTCATGTCTTCATCTAATCTGGTGTTCAGACAACTGCAGGAGAGGTCACAGAAACGCCGCAAACTATTGGCTCAACAGGTCTTCAGCGCACATACCATACCATCTCATTATCTACTTATCCCATCACTTCTTAAGCACTATATATAATCCCCAATCCTTTGTGTGTCCGTACAGTTAGGTGTTGGAGACGCGGAGGAATTGTCCACAGTTTTGGGCACAGATAGCGAGCGCACTCGTGTGGGCGCCCACAACGTCACCGGTGGTGACCAACACGTGGCCACCGATGACACCACTGGTGGCAACGGATCCACTGCTGACTGCGCCGCCGATGAGCGCTCAGGCGATAAGAGTTGCGCCAAAGATGGCGACGAAAGTGACACCAAAAGAGTCAAATCCGACGCCAACGACGAGCACATCGACGGCGCCGAAGAAATGGTCACTTATACTGATTCGAGTACTTTCCTGAAGGTATGTCTCGCAGTCGTCGATATATCACTAGCAGTGTGTCTAATGTCATGTCTGTCCACCGAAAGGGCACCCAATCCGCGAACCCACACAACGATTACTGTCAGCACTTCGTGGACACCGGGCAGAGGCCGCAGAACTTCATCCGAGACGTGGGACTCACCGACCGGTTCGAGGAGTACCCGAAGCTCAAGGAGTTGATCCGCTTGAAGGACGACCTGATCGCCGGCACCGCCACTCCGCCCATGTATTTGAAATGCGATTTAAGACAATTCGACTTAAAGGACATTAAATGCAAATTCGATGTCATTCTCATCGAACCGCCTCTCGAGGAATACCAGCGAACACACGGCGTGACGAACATTGCGTTCTGCGATTGGATGGATGTCATGAATCTGGCCATCGAGGAGGTGGCCGCCCAGCGATCATTTGTCTTCTTGTGGTGCGGTTCCAGCGAAGGCCTCGACTACGGTCGGCAGTGCCTCCGGAAGTGGGGATTCCGTCGATGCGAAGACATCTGTTGGATAAAGACTAACATCAAGACTGAGGGCCACTCGAAGAACTTGGAGCAGAACGCGCTCTTCCAGAGGACTAAAGAGCACTGTTTGATGGGTATTAAGGGGACGGTTAGGCGCAGTACTGATGGCGACTTCATTCACGCCAACATTGACATCGATCTGATAATCAGCGAAGAGTTCGAATACGGATCCATTCAGAAACCCGAAGAGATATTCCATATCATCGAACACTTCTGTTTGGGTCGACGGAGACTCCATGTGTTCGGTCGGGACTCCACCATAAGGCCGGGTTGGCTCACTGTAGGGCCCGGACTCACGAACAGTAACTTTCACGCCGAGACGTACGGCAGTTATTTCAGCGACGACTTGACCACCCGTTGCACCGATAGGATCGAGTCGTTGCGGCCCAAGTCGCCCCCGCCTAAGGCTAAAGGTCAGGGCGGCCGGGGGTCTAATGCCGGGCGCGGCGGTAGAGGCGGTCCCCGCAGGGGTTCCCAGAGATAGTGGACTGCATTTTGTGTGTTTTTTGTCTTGTGTTGTGTTTATGAGTTCACGAATGCTTTGATTATTAAGTGTTTTCTCTCATCAATTAATTCACGATTTATTTAATGAGTATTTTTATGTTATTTTTAATGATTGCCATTCACTCCGATTTGAATGAATAGACGTTTGAATGAAAAGTTTCTTTTTTGATACAAAATGTGTTTATAATTCATAAAAAGTTATTATAATTTAATAAAAATCAATTTTTTGACAATTATTGGAAATGTTTGTAATACAGTAAGAGCTCATTGCATGATCGGATTATGAGTATATCACATGTGATGAATGGTTAACCAGAATATTGAAATTAAAAGTTGAAAAACTAATGAAATTATTTGTATAAAATCTCGACAAATCAAATCTTGACGAGTTAAGATTCATAAATTATGAACTGTATTACAGTATTAGGCAAAAGTACAATAGAGTATGCGCTAAATCATGTCACATTAAATTGAAAGTACAGTAAAAGACTATTATTAAAACTAGACTGCAATTGACTATTAATATATACTTAGCGAATCAAAATTATGATAGTGCTGACGGGTTTTTAACCAATAAATATCGCTATATTTTAGTGAAAAGTAGCAGACATTCCGTTAAATATTTAGCTGTTAAATGGCACTTACACAGTAAAACTATTCAATTCAATTCAAAACTAGCCAATTCAAATCCACAAAAATATTTCGCTGTTCAAGTGATTGTTACATAGAAAGTTATACAGTATAACTATACCCGCAAATTTTATTAGTCTTAAGACTCTTAAGAGATAGTTATAATACAGTAGTTTTGAAAAAAGTACCCCTCTTTTACTGACAATCGCGTTAACCCTGGTCCACAAGAAAGTTGTCAAAATAAACTTAACATAAATAACATGACCATAGAGTGAACGGCAATGTCCGACACGACCAGAAAGAGAGTCCTCACAGACGTGTCACTGAAGAGACCATCGCTTAAGAAGTTAAAAGTCGCCGAAAGTGTGGGTAAAGTGAAGGATAAGAGGAATAACTTAGACTGGATTAGAGCGGAACAAAGGCACGACTGTTTCGACCAAAACATGCCATTCCCGCGAGACTTGCGATTCAGCGATCAGTTTAAAGCCTTGTTGTGATCGACCGCTCATTCGTCCCATTCTTATGACATGTAATAATCACTTATTCGCGAGTCTTATAACCAAAATATGCCAAATATTTATCATCCAATCTATTGTCCACAAGAAGTTAATTATTTATACAGCAATCACTTTATTTGTAAATAAATTAACTTTTGTGTAATTATGAATTTTTATTAATTTTTAAAATTAAAATTTATGGCAAATATACTAAATATTAAAAATTGGTGTCAGAATAGTTCAATATGTTTGTGTTCAATAAACTCATCAAGCTGATTGTATATGATATTATGGATTCCAATTATATTTCCAATTTAATAAAAGATTTATTTTGAAAATTTTGTTTAATCTTGTGTTAAGATTATTGAATTATTTGATATAAATTTTAAAATTTTCAAAATATTAAAATTTCCCAAAAAGTTCACTCATTCTCGACCGCGACTTCCAATCTATCGACAGAACTTCAGAAAGTAATCCAAATCTTCAGCAATGGCTTGAAAGTCAAGAAAGAAATCAAAGAAGTCTAAGAAAAGCCAAAACAAAGCGCCAAAAATTCAAAGACTGGTTCTCGAGTCCCAACATTCAGTGGAAGTCCACAAGAATTTGGTGAAAGCACTGAAACCACACCAAAGGGAAGGTATCCAATTCATGTATGACTCGCTGATAGGCAACGCCGGACAGGTGACCACCACTCCGGGTGTCGGTGTCGTACTGGCCCACAGCATGGGTTTGGGTAAAACACTTCAAGTGATCGCTTTATTGCATACAATTATGACACACAAAGACCTGAAGACTCACATCAAGCGGTCACTAATCATATCTCCCGTGAATGCCATCGAGAACTGGATGAATGAGTTCCATATTTGGATCGATAAAAACAGTCTGTCCTACAAACGGGTTCATAAGATAGTGTCCGGACAGACACCCGAAGCTAAAGTGGAAACACTTCATGAATGGTACAAAAGGGGAGGAATTCTAGTGATTGGTGTCCAACAGTTCTCATCAATGATGACGCGGAAGGGATCGACACAATCTTCAGAGCTCAAGGACGCCATCGGAAAGTGTTTTAAGGATCCCGGTCCCCATATTGTGGTGTGCGATGAGGGACACCTCCTGAAGAATATTGAGTCCACTTATAATCGGGCCGTCAATAAATTGAAGACAATGAGAAGAGTGGTGTTGACGGGAACTCCTATTCAGAACAATCTTCTGGAGTACTATACGATGGTGTCGTTCGTGAGGCCCAACCTATTCGGCGCTCGCGAGCGCTTTAAACAGAAGTTTGTTTTTCCGATTTCTAACGGAATGTTTGAGAACTCGAGTGAACAACAGGTGAAGACCATGAAGAAGAAGATCAGTGTTTTGCAGCGACTGCTCGAGGATTGTGTCCATCGAAAGGATTTCAGCGTTTTGGAGCCATTTTTGCCCAAAAAGACAGAATTTGTGGTAAGAGTTGGCCTCAAAGAAACTCAACAGCGCCTGTATTCGCAATATTTGGAAACTCAGGCCAGTAAACGGGGTATAGATATACTCAAAGACTACTCAGTACTGCGGCTCATATGGAACCACCCGTTCCTGTTGTACAACCAGTTGGAGGAACATATGGAGAATTCCGACTCTGAGGAAGATGAGAACGAGGAAGGGGAGGATCACAACCACCGGAATAGTGGTCAACACGAGGACCACCAAAACCCCGCGACAGACCCGGCGGCACCCGTCGAGCTCTGGTTCGCACCATTACTGCCACAAAACGAGTCCAAAAATATCAAACTCAGCGGTAAATTCTTGCTATTGTTCTCTATTATCAATGAATGCCACCAAATGAAAGACAAACTCGTGGTCTTTACGCAAAGTCTGCAGACATTAGACTTAATCGAAGACTTTCTGAAGATTCGAAACGACATGAAGAAGAAGGACCATTGGGTTCGGGACAGGGATTACTACCGCATCGATGACAGCACTCGGGGTTCAGTGCGACAGGACTTGATCGACGAGTTCAATGAGAAAGGCTTCAAAACGGGGCGACTATTCCTGGTGTCGACGAGAGCCGGCAATCTGGGGGTGAGTCTCGTGGGCGCCAATCGGTGTGTCATTCTTGACGTGTCGTGGAATCCGGCGAATGACATACAGGCGCTCCGGTTTGGCCAACAAAAGCCGGTCTATGTCTATAGATTCGTAGCCCAGGGGGTAATGGAGGAGAAGATATTTGAGAGACAGATCCAGAAGGAGTCGCTGTCAGGTCGTGTCGTTGACAAGAAGTCGATTATCAATCACTTCCGCCGCCATCGATCAGATTTATACACATTTGATCCGAGACTACCCGCGGATCAGGTTAGAGACGAACGAAAAGACAAACTATTGGATCATCTCTTGAAGGATAGAGAACTTAAGCGTCTGATTGTGAGTCACTCCGATCGCGATTCTCTACTGGAAAACCACCCAAACCTTGCCATCAGTGAAGAGGAAAGGGCTGAGGCCTGGCATGAGTTTCAATCGGACACCGATAAGACCGCCAATGAGTCCTATTTTGAGAACTTTTGGGACACAAGAAGTAATGTTAACACAAAGGATGACAACAACAGCTCGGGTTCACAAACACAATGAATGACTGGTTTCTCATTAAAGTTTGAGACAATCATTCAAATAAATGAGAATTAATAATTGTAAACAATTTATGATTACTATAATGTATAAAGTTATATAATACTGTTTCGAGTAAATGCAAAATTATGTTATAACTTATAAGTTATAACCAGGTAAATTGATAAAAGACTAGTGAAACATATTTAATATGATATAAAACTTTTTATTAATTCTATTATTTGCATGTTTTCAGAAAGATGATCACACATAAATTCAATAATACAATTGAATTAACTTAACATTACCATTTTAATTGACTGCAAACAATGCAAACAATTGAAAAGTTTATGACTACTGTATTTGTTTTGAATAAATTAAATAAATATAATAAAACGTTATTAAATTATTTAACGATTGAATTTATAGATTAACTTTGTAAATCAATTGATAAAAAATATATGAAAAATGCAAACCTTTGTGTTCATTGCGACAGGTATTCATTAAGAAATAGTCATAAAATAATTGTATCATAAATTCATTGTCCATTTCATGAAAAGTAATAATCTATACATCACTACCGAATGGCTACCAATCGACAGACTTTTGCAAATCATTTATAGAGAATTCCTATTCAATTGATTACACTTTCCATCAAAACACAGACAGAGGGGCTATGCTATTGATAATTGGGAACGACTACTGGCCTGTAAAAGTGAAGGGAAAGACATGTCAGTTGGACTCACGCTCTAAACATAGCGATTGGTTCGGCAAGACCTACAGCACCGGATTCACTGTACGAATCACACAAAACATCCTTGAACAGTTTACTCTCGGTTAATCTGGATATCGGTATTTACGGCACATATATCACTACAAGGGATCCAAAAGCCCTGAAATTGGGCCCAAACTTTAAGCCATCGATCAGTTTTCATGTGATTATCTCCGACCGGGAAGTCATTTGTTTTGTGAGCCAAACAGGTGTCACATACTTTCGCAGGAGATATCGGTGATGATATCGATTGGACCAAAGAGTACTACAATTTATACAGAATTATGACTTCCAGACAGACGTAAGTCTTATGGCAATTGGATCTCTATTTGATAGTCGAATAACTTTTTTGTTATAATTGTCTTCCATTGGATTCAGTGTCACACCAATCATACCATGAATTTACTGATTAATTGCGAGGAAAACAGTTACTTAGCGATTATATTGATTATCATTGCCGTAGTAGTGGTGGCACTGGTAGTGGTCGTTGTCATCATCATAGCTGTCATTCAAATCTGAGTTATTGAAGGACAATATGACCACCGATTCCTCCTTTTTGAGTCTCGACTCCATTCATACCATGAATTCCGAGGGAACGGCTGCCAAAAAGCTTAAGAAACCGGTCCACAAGAAAAAGCACAAAAAGTGAGTCAACCCCAATGAGACACCGGCGCCCACCACTACCCCTCCCAAACCACACGCTAACGTAACCCTCGGCACATATATTACTCCCAATCACTAAAGCCATGTCTTATATGAGTTTTGTAATCAATTGTAATTTAGTATATGTTTTACAATTTATTTTTGTCTATTCATTTGTACACTTAAAATACTAATTAGTTTTAAGCAATATAGTTTTGGTGATTAAATATTACTTTTATTTCAATGACTACAAAATTATTTATAAAATAAACTTTTTATACTAAACAAGTACATGTATAAAACAATATTTAAATAGCTATAAGTGGAGTAGACTGTAATGTATTGCATAATCAATTTATAGCTATGCAATAGTCGTCACATGTATGATGTTCATACAGTTTAACTCACATATTGTTAAGCCATCAGTAGATAATAACATGGTAATATTAGATAATTTTATTATATTTTCAAATTAAACAACTAATATGACCCTGATATTCATGACATGAACAGTTGGTAATTTGAACCAAATATTGACAACACTATTGAAGTGATGACACCGAGTGTGGACTGTATTGACTGTATTGACACAAACACTGCATTCAAAAGAGTTAACAAACAGTAGTTTCACTCATGAGTTGTTTTTTCATATGACAACCAATTGTCTCACATTTCAGATGATTATCACGCCATTGAGTGATCACAACAAGACATGACATCACCACTGGAACCGCAATCGCTGACTATCTCGGGAGTGGAGGTGTTGTTCCCATACAAACCATATGATATTCAATTGGATTACATGAAGAGTATTATCCACTGCTGTCAACAGGTCTGCCATCACTGTTACCACTAATTGTCCACTTATTGTCTTAATTGTCACCAAAACTGTTGCCCAGAAAGTGAACGGATTGTTGGAGTCGCCGACGGGAACCGGGAAGACGTTATGCATATTGTGTTCAGCCATGGCTTGGATCAGGACTTTTGAGCCAAAGATGAGACAATTGATGGTAACCGATGAGGAAGGGCTCCAACAGGAGGTCGTTGTCTCAGATGATAGACATATCCCACGGATTCTGTACTCGAGTCGAACTCATTCCCAATTATCTCAATGCTGTCAACAACTCAAACGAACCCATTATAAGACCGAAAGAGCGGTTGTCATCGCCTCCAGAGAACAGCTGTGTCTTCGGCCAGACGTGCGATCACTGTCTGGAACTACTCAGCAGAGTATGAAGTGCTCACAACTCACAAAAGACCACAAATGCGCTTATTTTGAAGGCTTTGATCAGAAGGTTAAGTCGAGTCAACTGTTGCCAGAAGTGGACCAATACTACGCCTCCAGAGATGATGACTGCAAAGTGATGGACATCGAAGACCTCATGGACTTCGGGCGCAGACACACGTGTTGTCCGTACTATAGCGCCCGAGAGATGGCCCGTAAGGCGTCGGTAGTGTTCACGCCTTACACCTATTTATTAGATCCAGAACTAAGAGGAAACAACAAATCAAAGGGAATATCACTGAAGGACTCAGTGGTGGTCTTCGACGAGGGCCACAACATGGAGAAGGAGTTTGAGGAGCGGATGTCAACACAACTCACTACTCATATGATGGACGCTTCACTCAAGAGAATCGATTTTATTGCCATTCAATTGCAGACAACGCCCGCCGATAGACTTCCCGAAGAGTTTGAGGGCCTGAAGATCGCGAAACTGCTTGAGTTGGAGACATGTCTTCAAGACCTCCGCAGAGGTATTGCTATGAAGTTTGTGTCCAATCGGGTGTTTAAACCGGAAACGAAAGCGTTGTTTGATTTGTTGGATGAGTCGGGACTTGAGTTCAAAGAAATGGGAAAATGGATCAAATTATTAGAAGATATCTGTGATATTCGTGTGGACACCGGCGCCGGTAATACTCAGACTAATGGCGACCCCTTTTGGTGCCTTAAACTTATGCGCGACTTCTTATGTAAAATATACCCGAAGTCTGTGTCAATCGAAACATTAGATGAATATAAGAGAGAATTCTGTGATAAATACAGACTTTATGTCGAAAGCGATAATACGACCAACGATTGGGTTTTTAATGTCTGGTAATTATTTGTGTTTTCTATGCTATTGTTGTTTAGACCTAATTGTCGCCTATATTTAGGTGTATGAGTGCGAGTGTCGGCGCCAAAGCACTGTTAGCCGAAGACATAAACTGTTTAATAATAACGAGTGGAACTCTGGCACCAATTGATTCGTTTGATTTGGAAATGGGCGTCAAATTTGATGTCAAACTACAGAACAGTCATATCATCGGTGATAACCAGTTGTCGATTATAAACATTCATCACTCAAAGAACAAAACTGTGTTGACCTCGAAGTATGACAACAGAGATAATATGGAATATTATAGGGCTTTAGGACAGACACTCATTGAGATCTTAAAAGCGGTTCCCAAAGGAGTTCTTGTATTCTTCTCGTCCTATACGGCACTCAATAAATGCACACTTATGACAACAGAGATAATATGGAATATTATAGGGCTTTAGGACAGACACTCATTGAGATCTTAAGAGCGGTTCCCAAAGGAGTTCTTGTATTCTTCTCGTCCTATACGGCACTCAATAAATGCACACAAATTTGGAAACAATACAGAAATGACAACATTTGGGATAAACTAAATGCTGTCAAACAGATATTTCTTGAACCCAGAAGTAAACACGCATTCAATGAGTGTTTTGTGAAGTATAAGCAAAAAGTAGACGAAAACCAGTCGTCGGGCGCCGTCTTCTTCGGTGTCTTTCGGGGAAAACTCTCCGAAGGAATCGATTTGCCGGACGACTACTGTCGCGGCGTTATATTGACTGGCCTTCCCTTCCCAGCAGTGATGGACCCGAGAGTTATCCTTAAGAAACAGTATCTAAATGAAGCTAAGATTGGACTTTCAGCCGACGGTTGGTATGCATTGCAAATGAAACGAGCTTTAAATCAGGCGATCGGACGTGTGGTCAGACATAAGGATGATTTCGGAGTCATTATTCTTCTGGATTCACGGTTCGCATCCCTTTCCGACGGTCTGTCCAAATGGGTTGTGAAATACATATTCAGAACTAATGCCAACACTTTAGACACAAGTTTACAGAAATTGAAGTCATTTTTTACGAATCGAAACTCGAGTTTTTGCTTACAATCGACGGCACCACCGGTTGTGCCCACAAATGCCAACTCTTTTAACACACAATTTAAAAGTTTTTCCAAAAATGAGATCAAAACCAAACCTAAAATGAACTCTTCATTCAAAGGATTAAGTGATAAGAATTCCATATTAAATGCATTCAAAAATGTGCCAAAAACTCCTGAATCAACTCAAAACCAATTTTAATGTATTGCAGATTAAGTCATCATTTGATGCAATTTGATCTTAAAAATCATCCTTAACTCAATTTGCGACACAAACTCAATCGTCGGATCAGTTGGAGAGAGAGAGAGAGAGAGAAAGGAAAGGGAGGAAAAGGAGGAGAGGGAAGAGAGCGGACAAAACGAAACTCTGTTTCCAATTACTTGTGCTGTGAGTGAAGGGCACGACTGATTGGCATCACATGAGGACATATGCGACGGCACTAACCATACGATACATTCAATTGCATTCTTATGAGTCCTAATCTATAACACCATTGCCTCCCAATGCCCTGTAATGTCTTCCCCATTGCACCTACACTACAGTGACTACACCACCGCCAGGCCATTGATCGGTACAGAAAACATAACAGTCATAGCTCCATAGCTCTCTCTCTCTCTCTCTCTCTCTCTTCTCTCTTCTCTCTTCTCTCTCTCTCTCTTCTCTCTCTCTCTCTCTCTCTCTCTCTCTCTCTCGTAATCGGATTTTCACTTTTGGGATAATCCTATTTAATGTACGAAAAGGAGTCGGGTTTCCAAAACCAGAGCACAAAAATACTACAAAATATTGCATAAATACTACTTTATGCCAAATATGCCCACATTAAGCACAGACATTGTTTGCAAAAATAAATTAAAATATTTAATATCTTTAATTAACATCACATTTGAGACTTTAATTTCTATTTTTTCGCAAAAACATAATTCTGTGAATAATTTTTTATATTATAATTGAATTTTAGATTTATTTATCATAATTAAGGCCATAAGTGTATAATGAAATTAGTTTAGTATTCATAGGTTTTAATGCTATTAGTAACAAAATGAACACAATTTTTTATAACGAAAATTATTTTTAATTTGTTTATTAGGGACAGAATTTAGGGAATATTTGTGAATTAATTTAACGACAAATTCTATACTAAATAAAAAGCTCTATAAGTGTCACAAATTCTCTCTAACAATGAGTTATTAGAAAATGGTTTTTAATATAAGCGTATAAAATGCTACAGAAATGAGAAAATATTATTATAAATATATTTCAATCAATTTTAATTCAGTTTCTTTTGTGATATGAGAAAATTAATCACAAAATAAAATATAAGTGTTTCGTATATTTCCAAAAGTGATTATATGATGGAAATTGTCTTTTAGTGGAAATCGCTTAGTGTTAACGCAATATCTTATCATCAATTTGTGAGCGAAACACAATCTTTCCAATGATTAATGACTTCAATGTTTATTTGGAAAGTAATTCAAATTAAAACTCATTTCCCGCTTAAGTGTTATTTAATGACTAATAAATGAAATGTTTTATTAATTATTTTTCTTTAAGATTTACTCTTTTCAAACAAATAATAGAAAAATGTTTTGTATTTTAAAATCCAATATCAAGTCTATAATGTGCTAATTCATGCGATAAGTGCCATAAAACTTGTGATTTATGAGTATATTAACAATCGATTTATATATCATATCAGATATTCAGACAAACGATGACTTATTTTGGGATTTTGTGGCCACATTTATATACACAACAGTATTATAAAACTATTCATAAAAACATATTATAAAATATCAGGTTTATAAACATTTCATTGCATTCACAGTTGCTATAAATCTAAAGGAATGAGTGGAATAGCACTATAGGAGGGGTTGTTTGGGATTTGCAAAGTTTGGAGTAATTTTCAACAAAAAAATATGTGGTTTAAAATTTATGATCTGTTTTAGTGTTGAAAAATTGAAAACTGCAGTCAGAGAGAGAGAGAGAGAGAGAGAGAGAGAGAGTACTTAAACTTATGTTTTCTTAATTATGTAATTATAATATTACATTTTAATTAATTAATTTTCGCGAATTTAGAATTTTTAATTAACTCTTGTTTTTAGATAATTAAGAGAAAGGTTTCCATTTGTTTAGTAAATAAGAGAGAGAAAGAGAGAAAGAGAGAGAGAGAGAGAGAGAGAGCACAGAAATGAGCCAATCATCTCATTTAAGTAATATTAATGTCGGGCCAAACGGTTGGCTGAACAAAGCAATTGGCGGTGATAGCGGTGGTGATACTGGCGCTGATGATGGCGATGCCAGTGCTGGCACTCGGGCTTAAGGGATCAACATTTTTAAAGAAACTTTAGTGAAAAAACTGTTGAAAATTGTTTTGATATAAAAATTGAGAGATTTATTTCGCAGGCATTAAAAAATACTTTTCGCTCTCAAACCCTACACCCATTTAATGTTCAGATTATAAAATCAACTTTTAATGACAGCATTTATTTTGATTTTTATATAACGCTCGTAATAAATATAAATATACTTTTGTTTTGGTTTATAGAAAAACTATTTTAGAAAACATTAGAGAATTTAATATTATTTTTTGTGCTGTGGATATGAACGGAGAAATTGCTTTTTTATAAGACATTTGCTTTTGATAGCGAGATATATATTTCGTACTTATTTTGTCTGATTTTAGTCCCAATTATGGGTTATTTATTAAATGAGTTTTTTCTTTAGCCAAACAATCTGTTTATTGCCATCAAATGTAATGAAATGTTTGCCAAAAGTCATAATTCAGAAATGAATAAATGAATAATTTTTGTTACATTTCATTTTATAAACATTATATACATGTATAACGAAATAAAATGAATATTTTATAAAAATAAGTCTTTCAATGAATTTTAAATAAGTTATATCCAAGAAAACAAAATGTGTTTTTCAAATAAATTAAACTCTTGTTGAAGACATAAATTTAAATTGAAAATAATTTCTACCAAAATGTTATTGTGTAACAAAATGGGATGAAATTATGTTTCAATTATGTTAAGTAAGAAAAATATAAAATTGCTCAAATAAATAAAATTTATGTAATTATAATATTACATTTTAATTAATTAATTTTCGCGAATTTAGAATTTTTAATTAACTCTTGTTTTTAGATAATTAAGAGAAAGGTTTCCATTTGTTTAGTAAATAAGAGAGAGAGAGAGAGAGAGAGAGAGAGAGAGAGACTTATTTTCTAATTTTGCAAAACACATCGAAAAACAAAAAGCATTTATTTAAAACAAAAATTTCATTATAAACTCCATTTCCATGAATTATAAAACAAATTGCTTTAACATAACTGTAAAATAATGAGAATAGAGTTGCTTATGATTTATTAAATAATTTGTATATACTTTGCCAACAAATGCAACAAAAGCTTTATAAAGCAAACAAAGCCAACACAAAAAGTGAGGAATAAATTGAAATATAAATCCGATGAAAATGAAGACACACTTTGTTAGTGAAGTGAACGACAAATTGAATGACAAAATAAATTTTTTAAGGGTTAGTAAATTGCATAATAATCTCTACGCCCGTAATCTCAGTGCAAACTATTTCAGCGCATTGTTTGGTATAAATAATGTTTAATCAGAGTCTTGTTATGAGGTTTACGATCACATAATTATTATTATAGAAGTTTTTTCTTGCTATGAGGGAAGGTATGTCTGTGTGTGTAGACCTACTAATACTCTATGCTTACAATTCCCACAAAGATTAGAGAAAATATCGTTTAGCTCTCTCTCTCTCTCTCCTCTCTCTCTCTCTCTCTCTCTCTCTCTCGACATGCCATAAGAGTGTGAATCTCATAAAAGCGAAAATAATGTGTTATTATTATATAAACAATAGATAAGTTAGGAATAAAGCCATAGCACCTGAACTCCAGTACTCTATTTGCTTATGTAGTGCAGTGTCTGTAGTACAGAGTCTGTACTGTGGCTGAAGTGCCGGCTGTAGAGCGCATACCGTCTCTCCTCCGATGGATACAGATGTGCGCCAAACGCCTGGAAAAGTCATTCACAACAGGACTGATGGATGACAACCGAAAACAATGAAGACATAGCAAAACCCGTTGGGATCAGAGGGAGAGACACAGAATATTCTGTATAAAAATATACCAACCATTAAAGCATTGGTTCTCTAACTCTGGTATTGGGGGAGAAAACCAGAGATAATAAGAATGGTATGTATTTGGCGTACAGTAACTGTTGGTGTGGTTCCCTTCCCTGCCATCACATACAGCACTGGTAGGGAATGGTATGATGAGGTGACACACGAAATCATATAAAGCAAACTCTTATTTGATAAATGATTCCATTTTCGCTTTAATTTAGACAAATAAATGCCATAAAGAATGAACACATTCTCGTCTTAAGGCCTTTCCATTCCGTCAACAATTGGTTCCAGAGTTAAGACATCGGAGACAAAACAGTCGACGAGTTTGTCATATATTTTCTGATCATCAAAACAAAGTTCTCAAACAGTCACTGATTTTGAAAGGCTTTTGTTTTTTAGTTTTTATTATTTTATTCAATGCATTTTATGAGTGGACATATAAATATATTTTGAGTGAATGTTAGAAAAGTTTGAGAATTAATAAAACAGCTCTCTCTTACTCTCTCTCTCTCTCTCTCTCTCTCTCTCGTATGAATATATGTGTGAGTAATAAAGGGATATCCAGATCATTGAATTTGACCGTTTGGTGTTGTGTCCAATGGACTGACCATTGCGTTGATGTCTCTCACGCTCCGGAAGAGTCCGAGAGAGCGTACAATGAGATCGCGAGAGACATAACCGGAAAGTCACTCATAAGTGTTGCCAAAAACGACAAAAACGCTAAAGTAGTGGACGTTTTTGGACTCAAAACTCATATTAACATTAAGTGCATTGCATTTAATGACAATCAGATAATAGAGACACAACCCATACATGGCTTTATGTATTGTTTGTCTCTTAAAAGTACTTAAAGAGTATTGAAAGCAATCAGAAAAGCGTGAAATTCTTTGCACACAAAACAAACTCAAATACATTTAAACTAGACGTCAATCACTGGCCGTACGGTATAATAGCATCCGAGTGTAGTCTATATACAACAGCCCTCATCCCTATACTATCATATACTGGTATATCTCTCTATAAGCTGTTAGAATACAGGCCTCAATGCAAACAACAGTCCCATTGATTGACTGAATGGCAACAAATCGTATCAATAGTTGGCCAACACTTTCACTACAAATATAAACATGTTTTTGGACGCAAACACACAAATGACTGCTAATAATAACAGTTAGAATATTATCACAAATATTTGATTGTGTTTTGTAGACAAACAATACATTACTACGAGTCCAGTCACAAACACAGGCATTTGTACTGTACTTGCAATAGGGTCTGACTGTGTCGGAGAGCGCCGGCATGTATTCGTTACGGACTATTAATTTGTAGATCCGGTCAGTCCATGGAATGGCTATTTAAGGATATATGGAAGCAGTTTCGGTCCAACACTTAATGGCCTAATAGAGTGCATCAACTTTTGCCCGGATATTAAATAATACATCACTTTTATTATATGTATTCAATTAATTACATTCAAATGTTTAATCAATTAGTATTAGACTATTGGCTATAGTTTAGCAAAAGCTTAAAATTTATTCATTTTTAAACATTTTGTCAAAATAATATTTACAAATGATTTGAATCACAAAAATAATTTACTCAAACAGTATTAACACCACAATTATTTAGTGTTCATTAAAAATTAATTAGAAAACATATTTGATTCACTTTCTATCCAAGGTTTTCAAAAAACTATATAAACTGTTTATGACCACAATGCTAACAAATGATAACAATTAAAATTATTAAATATAAACACAATATTAAATCATTTTTATTCGTTTGTTTGAATCGATAAGACAGCAAATGTTATCTATTTTATGAGAATTTGCTTTAATATAACTAAAAAATCGTCTGATTTTTGCATACTTTTGGTTCACATAAGGACTTTGATTGTTGTCATTGTGTTCAATGAACCTCTCGATCCATTTGGACAGACCGTCGGAAAGGGTTGCGAATCGCGAGTCCATAAGAATAATGACTCCGAAGTCATCCTTATGTCTGACCACTCGTCCGATCGCTTGATTTAATGCTCGTTTCATTTGTAATGCATACCAAACACTAGGCGTGAGTCCAGTGTTTGCTTTATTTAGATACTCTTTCTTAAGTATAACTCTCGGGTCCATCACTGCTGGGAAGGGAAGGCCAGTCATTATAACGCCGCGACAGTAGTCGTCCGGCAAATCGATTCCTTCGGAGAGTTTTCCCCGAAAGACACCGAAGAAGACGGCGCCCGACGACTGGTTTTCGTCTACTTTTTGCTTATACTTCACAAAACACTCATTGA